AAGTGGTGCATTTTACCATATTTCCAAAAGGACCAGAGAAATGAGCTTCTATCGGCTGTATTAGCCCCGTGGTAGCCTCGAGCAGAGCGTCATTCCCTTCACTTGCTTTTGTGGAGGTAAGACGCACTGGATAGCTTTCTTATCTTTGAATGATGCCCACGAGTCCACTGTCAACAGTGCCGGTGTTGGTGAGTCCGAAGCTGCTACGCACCATCGCACCCAATCTAGCATCAACACCCACTCTAGGATCATCATTGCTCATCATATGCGTTTAGCTCTCCCGGACCCCCAAATTTTGCGCACGGAGAAATTTCCCACTCGGCAAAAGGTATCAGCAAGGCACTAAAAGGTCATAAAACGTGATAATATCACCATGAGAGTATTTTCTAGTCCTTTAGGCAAAATCCTATTAATGCGAAAATTCCATCCCCCACAAATCCCGAACCCTAGCCTCTCTCCAATGAAACGTCACGCTTACCACTACATCAAGCCGCCGTTGAGAATCCAGACACATCCATGTAATTTAAGTTTTCTTGTGTTAAGCTCTCAAAACCACCTTCATACCTCCGTTCGGAGAATTGCTTGGCAAATTTGGAAAGCAAATTCGAACTCAGCATCCGAAAACACGTCCAGCAGTGTAGGTCTCATTTTGCATGGCCACTCTGACTTGAGGTCCTTCTGTGGCAAGAAGTCAATTTGGCTGTTACCCACATTATAGAGGTAATTATGGCTGATGCTCGCTCTCATCACAATATATAGTAGCGTGTATTTGGAGTCAAGCATGTCACTCGAGTTGTCCGGCTCATAGCGGGCTCTCCTCCTTTTTTGTGTGAAACTCGGAGTGCCTTACCAACGCCTGTCAAACCCCTGTCACTTTCGAAATAAGAGAAGCCATTAGCCTTATAACGAGTTGTGCAAATCGATAATGATTGGATAGTTCGCCCACTGTAGTTTGTAGCTTGTCGCTTCATTGACAGGTATACTCCATGACATCTCTTCGACTTTCTTAGGATACAAATACTGTATGTTCAAAGGAAACGAAGATGTGAGTAAGCGGTCTATGACACAACCTGTTGTTTTGAATCGGTACATTGACCAGCATCTCATCAACCATACGTGCACCTTTTGAGCCTAAAAGGAGCAAAGCTGAGAATGGATGGTGCACATTCGGAAATTTTTTGAATAGGGTTGTCGGTAGTGCTTCGAGTTGCTTCAGTACCACCCAGCTTTATACCCTCTCGTCCTGTCATCTCCTTTCTATCTATGCAAGCTTCTGTTCACTTTTTGCCCTTCTTCAAAATGTCTCTGGGGGAAAGTACGGGTTTTTTGTTCTTAGCTCAGCCCACCTTGNTGCCCGACCATGACCATCCTAGAATGTTTATGCTTTCAACATTCGCTAGTTCCAACGTGTATTCCCATGACTGGATCATCAGCGACTCCTCAGTCCGACACAACCACTGCGGGGAACACTTCGTACATGATCCACCTGCTGCGAAAGGGTTACAGCTTTAGCAATGGATTTTCAGGTAGCATGACTCATTCTTTAACTATTGCTAACCAGTCGGGTCGCCCGGCTGACGCCGGGCTCCCATTTCTTACTTTTCAAGAACAAATAGAAGCCCCCCTTCCTAGGTGAACAAATATAGAGGAATGTAGAATGTAGCATTATCTGTATCGCTACCTTTATCGTGATCATAAATTTCTTGGACGGACAGACACACAAACCGACAAACCGATACACCAAGTTTCTGCTTTATAATGAGACCAGTTGGGCTACGCACGCTAATGTGTGCACCACATGCCCACTACCGCTTGCCTACGACTTGTTAGAGGGCCAATATGAACACGGTTGACTTCCCATTTCATGACTGTTTCCTCACCGCGCTCACGTGACATTCACACTCTTCGTCGTGCCTACGTGATTTCCGGAAGGGTGCATAAACGGGCATACAAATAGACACACAAAATCACCGCATTATATATAGAGACAGTCGGACCGTCCGGCTAACGCCCGGCAATCAGCACACTCCTTCTTTGGAACGAATGATACTTTTCTGCACACGAAGTTCGATAGAGGACCAATAGGGCATGCAAACGCTATTCAAAATGTGCCGATGCCTATGCCTCTGATTAGAATCTTTCTGTCTGGGCCTGTCGCTGTTGATGTTAAAAATAATGACCCAATGAAGATTCATTTGGTAGGCATTTAAAGCCTTAAATGAACTCACAAATGTTGTCGAGCCATAATAATAATATCAGTATCGAATGTCTATATGAATGTAGCTCCTTTTCTCTTCGGATAAATCCTTAAATGGGAATCCAAGGTTGTTAGCGGTCGGATAAGTATTGCCATGAATGATATCGAAGCAGTGAGAAACCGTGATCCTTCATTGAGTCGCAAATTTCGCTGAGTAGCTGTCGTAAGGAAGAAGTGAACCGGATTTCACAATCGGTCCCTATTAGTGCACTTACCCTTCTTGTCGAATGAAACATATTGGGTTGTCCGAAAAGTTCGTGCCGATTTCTCGGTCGACTTTGTGTGAAAATTTCTAAAAGAACAAATACATTTATCAAACAACATATTCTCCATTCTGCTCTACAATGGTCCGCCATCTTTCTGGTAGTTTCATTATCCCACTTTCATAGAAGATTGTAGACTTAGAATTCAAAAATTCCTCTAGGAGCGTTTTGCAGTCCTCCAATGAATCGAATGATTTTGCACTGAAGGAATTTTGCAGAGACCCAAACAGGTGGTAGTGTAATGGCGCGAGCTCCGGACTATATAGGGGATGTGGTAAGGCATCCCATCCAAGCTCCAGTAATTTTTGCCGAGTGGCCAAAGATACATGTGGTCTGGCGTTATCCTGGTCGAATACAACGTATTACGATTGGCCAGTTCTGGGCGCTTCTGATCTATCGCAGTCTTCAAATTGTCCAGCTGACTACAGTACCTTTCTGAAATGATCGTTTGGTTATGCGGCAACAGCTCACGATGGATTATTCCCTTCCAATTCCACCAGCAGCATAGCATAACCTTCCGCAAATGGATTTTCGCTCTTGGAGTGGTTTAGGGTGGCTCGCTGGGCAGGCTCGACGATCGTTTCCGCTCCACGTTTTTGCGCAAGATCCACTTTTCTTCCACAGTTACTATGCGTTTCAGAAACGGCTCATTTCCTTTCTGTTTGAGCAACGAGTCGCATTCGGACCATCGAATTGCGCTCGCTCAGCTTTTGAAGTGCCCAAACATCGGGGCGCTCAACAAAACCGAATCCCAACAAATGATCATCGACGGTTGATTGTGGTACATTAAGCCTTGCTCCTATTTCACGAGTAGTCGATCATTTTCGATTATAATTTTGATTTGATCCTCTTCAAGTGATGATGGCCTTTCTGCGAGCTGCCGATCTTCGAGGTTGAATTCACTCCGCTTAAATCTCGCAAATCACTTACGAACTGTACGTTCATGTAGAGCATCCTCTCCGTAACTGCCGCAGATCTTTCTTACGGTTTGAGCTGCATTCTTTTCTTCACGATAGAAGAAAAGTATTAGATACGAAAATGCGCGCGATTGTCTTCCATTTTCACTCAAGCCCTATACAAAGGAACTTCAAGAAAATCAACACACACTGAAAAGGGATATAGATTAAGACTTACATTTTCAGAAAATATATGACACTATGAGGTTATGCCGACGACCTTTTTCGAAATACTTGATGAACCAACGGTGCTCAAAATCGGCACGAACTTTTCGGACAATCCAATATTAAAGAATCAAAGCTATATCGTAAATAACAAAGGCTCAGGATTTAATTGATGATTAGGTCCTGTTCTTTAAGGCCTCCTCTATCGTCAGTGTTCCCATCCTGCCCCCTCTACTCCTACTGATTTTGCTCTCCAAGTCCACGGGATCCCGCGTAATCAATATCCGTTCACACATTTATTTCGCACAAACCCCGCCCCCAGTGGGCGGAGTCCGTCCTACTACCCACCATATGTGTTCGCATACGCCTCCTTTCGTCCTACCAAGTTTGAGCGCCCCAGAGCCAATTCGCGCACACCCATCCTTCTATGGCCGGGGTCCGGTCCTCCCACCTACATAAGTGCTCCCATACTGCCGCCTATACTCCTGCCACGTTTGAACGCCCTAGGGCCAAATTACAATTTTGGCGCAAACCCCGCCCCCTGTAGCCCGATCCTGCCATCCACCAATAGTGTTTCCACCCTGCCTCTGATACTTTCTAATAAATTTGGACTTTCTAGGTTCACAGGAATAGAAGTTATGATTTTCCGCTGAAACATTCATTTCGCACAAACCCATCCCCNCCCCTGTGAGCGGAGTCAGGTCCTGCCATCTACCATGTGTGTTCCCATCCTGCGAACGTCCTAGGTCCACGAGGCCATTAGTTATGAAGTTCCGTTCAAACAGACAGACAGACGCGAGCGCTTTAGCTGCCCTGCTTAGGCCGAGCCTGATTCCTTACTTTTACCAAATCGTAAAAAAATTTAAGGAGGAGGGGGCATCCCTTTATCCAACACGGAGGGCTAGAGTGCAAAGGAGGGGTAGACGACCCTACCTATACTTAGGAACGCTTCTAGGTGAATATGGTTTTAAGGTAAGCCTCAGGAGGTGAGGAGCAGCGGGGTAGGGGTGAGAAGTTTACCTCGTGCAAAATGTTAGGACGGGGTATGAGTCACCTGACTCACCCACTTCGGTATCTCTTCCCTCCTGCAGCACCCACTTCGGATCCCTTCTCTCCTGGAGCACCCACTTTGATATATCTTCCCTCCTGAAGCTCAGATCAATAACTGTATGCTCTCGGCTAAGAAACTTCAATGAGCACAAGTATGGGCTAACCCGCTTATGTTGAAATTATGGTGAAGATAAGAGGAGCTCTCCCAACTACATGATTTTTGTCACAGTTTTGAAGTACGCACTTCATTCCACATCGCTCTTTTCACTCCGCAGGGTTCACTGTACTAAATTAACCTACCAACCAAGTTACTGCCTTATATATAAGAAGAAAGTGTAGAATGGAGCCAAAATTTCCACATCACTACCATTATCATAGTCATAAGGTCATATCATAATCATTTGCGGACGGACGGACCGACAAACCGACAAACCAAGTTACTGCTTTATAAATGCGAGAGATTATTGCAACTTGGTTGCATTTCATTTGGGTAACGCTCACTTCGTGCCCACCTCGACCTAGTGGGCGTGGCCCACCCGTGCCAACTTCTTTCGGTTTCCCTGTCCTGCCACCCAAGTCCCTTCCAAATATAGACGCACTACGTCCATGGAAAATGGAATGATGAGATCAGGCAAACACACCATAAAAACTTCAATATGCCAGCGGACTACTCAGCGCCTACATACAGTCCGATAATTATAGGTGAAAAATCAGGCGTGGCTAAGGAATTTATGAGGAGTTTACGGGCTTTTGGAAATAGCTGAATCGGAGCTGTAGGAATATTTTTCAGTTGAAGTACACAGGCAAAGTACTAAAGGAACCGGATAGAGGTCTATACAAGATGACCTACACAGGCAGAGATGGAACAGAAAAGTGAGTTTCTTAGGCGCTACTTAATTCCAATTCTACCACATTCTACCAGACTACTACAATTTTGCCAGCGTTATCTACTTTTTCTAGTCCGTGTGTTGTCTTTTGTACGTATACATTGGGAAGTTCTAGATTCTCAACTTGATATTGAAGTAAGAATAAGAACAAAGCTTTAGAGGGTATACATAGTATTTCGTGGAACTAAAACACTATTTGTTCAAGTCATGAATCGACTGAGGTATGGTTATATCGTCATAGGAGGCTCGCATTCTGGAGTCTTTCCAATTCCATGCCTCTTACGAGTTGAGTGCCACCATTGTCTCGTCTAGGCGGAGAAGTGTGACTGCTTTTGTATACAATCTCATCTACTATATTTGGCAAGGAGCAAGCATCCCTTAAATTCCCTCCCCCCACAGGAACCTATGTATACCAGCCCAGAATATCTTTTTGCACTTGTGAAATCTGACATGCAAACGTTTTTAGTTGATTGATCCCAGGTTCCTTCAAGGCTTCGATCAGTGGCTCCAAATTATTATATAATGACAAACTCTACGAACCTTACTCTCGATAGATGGCCACAGAAAGGAGCATTAAAGTGGGGCAAGCTTATTCCCTTTGTGATGAGATTGAGCAGATCGTATCGGCATCATACTTGAATATTTTTGTCCCTGTGAGCTGTAGCTCTGTCCTTCCGTGAACGTGCCAGGCCGCATCCCGAATGCAGTCATTCGTCCAAACCGGGATTCGCTGACATCCTATGAAAGGGCCATTTAGACGATTTCATCAATATTCGATCCCTATGACAATTCACAAATGAACTCCACGGTTAATAATAGTCTGCCAGAAAAGATATCTTCTAAAAGTGAATTAGAACAACAAACGACTTTATTTTTTT